AGAAATGCGTGTCCCTCCCGTGCTCCCCGGCTGGGGGAAGGTTCCTCCAACGCTGCATCCGCTGCTGCTGCCGTTTGTCCAGCGTTTGCTTTCCCTGCGTCCCAGGCATGGGGACGTGCTGGTGCAGGGTGGTGAAGGAGCAGCCTGGACCTGGTGAATCTGCAGCTGGAGGGTTCCCGGGGGAGCGTGTCCTTGCTGCCTTCACACCCTTCAGACGGGGGTGGGTGCGGGGGAGCTGGCTTGCCTGCAGTCAGTGGAGGGGCCACCGCGTTCAGGTTGGCTCTGAGGAGCCCCTCTCGCTCCAGCACCCGTAGCAGCCTGAGTGCTGAGGTCAGCCTTGTCCTCACGGTGCCTTTGTGCACCCTGGAAGAGTGAGACTCGGAGCCCTCGGCCGACGTGGCGCGGTGCCACCCTGGACAGCTTCGTTCTCTGCCTGCAGGCGTTCAGCAGAGCTCACCGCATCGGGCAGAACAAGAAGGTGATGATCTACCGCTTTGTGACCAGAGCCTCTGTGGAAGAGCGCATCACCCAGGTGGCCAAAAGGAAGATGATGCTCACACACCTGGTTGTCCGCCCGGGGCTCGGCTCCAAGTCGGGCTCCATGACCAAGCAAGAGCTGGATGACATCCTCAAGTTTGGGACAGAAGAGCTCTTCAAGGATGACGTGGAAGGTGAGGTTGGGGAGGTGCTGGGGATGGTCTGCATGAGGTGGGGCCTCATCTGAGCTGCTGGAACTCCTTCTCCTCTTCTTACACCCACAGGGATGGTGTCTCAGGGGCAGCGGATCACCATGCCGGATGCTGTCACCCCTTTCTCTGACACGCTGGCAACCAAAGGAGGTGCAGTGACTCCTGGCATGAAAAAAAAGCACGGTGGCACCCCACCAGGTCTGTAGCCTCCCTTGTTGAGGTGACCTGTCCCCCTCCCTAGCCTTGTGTCCAACCCGAGCTCACCTGGCTCTGGGAGCAGGGACTGCCTCCAGCATGGTGACTTGTGCTTCCATTCCCCTTGCTTTGCTCTCAGGTGACAATAAGGATGTGGATGACAGCAGCGTGATCCACTACGACGACGCTGCCATCTCGAAGCTTCTGGACCGAAACCAGGATGCGACTGATGACACGGAGCTGCAGAACATGAACGAGTATCTCAGCTCCTTTAAAGTGGCCCAGTATGTTGTGAGAGAAGAGGACGGTGTGGTAATGTGATTAGTATCATGTCTTACAATCCCACCTCTATGTATGTCCCTCGCTTTGTGTTTCTTCCTCTCCCTCTCTTGTTCTTGTGTTTGGATGCGGGGCAGGACTCCTCCCTGCTCTCTGTCCCTCTGTGGCAGCACTGCCCTAGATTGTTCCAGACCTGGGGGTCCCAGTGCTGATGGGACTGGCTGCAGGCAGAGGAGGCTCAGTTGTCTTTGTCCTGTGCAGCCCATGGTGTGAGCTGGGCTCTGTCCCTGCTGGCACAGGATCTCCTTTTGATCAGAGCATCCATAGGCACCTTCTGTCCTTCCCCCAGACTGGGAATGGGCACGGTGCTGCTTGTGTCCTGTGCTGCCATCGTTTATTTTCCCAGTAGCTGATTATTTCCTTCATCTGTTGATGAAGCTGATGGTAGGCTGCTGTCCTGGGAGGTCTCTGCAGACCTGTGGTTTTTCCCCCATTGTGAGCACGGGCTCTGCAGGGCGGGTGGATGGCAGCGTTCAGAGGAGCTGTGTCTGGGTGGGAGGTTGTCTCAGCCCTTTGACAACCTTGTGCTGAGGTCAGTGTGTTTGGACAAAGACTCAGGAGCCAAATTGCAGCCAGTGGCTCCGTGCCCTCCCTCCCTCTCCCCATGGACAGGCAGTGGGGTGATGCGGGCAGGTCTGTGGCTGCCCAGTCTCAAGCCTCTTGTCTCTTGCTTGGCAGGAGGAGGTGGAACGTGAGATCATTAAGCAAGAGGAGAATGTGGACCCCGACTACTGGGAGAAGCTGCTTCGGCACCACTATGAGCAGCAGCAGGAAGATCTGGCCAGGAACTTGGGGAAAGGGAAGAGAATCCGCAAGCAGGTCAACTACAACGACGCCTCTCAGGAGGACCAAGGTACGGCGGCGGCCACCCGGCTCCTGGCCGGGCTGGGGCGGGCAGCAGGTCCTGTGGGCTGGCTCCGAAACGCTGCGCAGACAGCATCCCTGATGGACACTGTGGGCTGAGTGTTGCTGGGAGTTTCTCTGCAGCTCAGTAGGCTGTGTGGCTCTGTGCTTCCCAGATCCTAAACTCTCCAGGATAGAAATACGTCAGAGATTTTTTTATTTTTATTTGTTGGTCTGTAAACTCTGTTTTTGCCAGAAGAATTGAGGGAAAACATGCCTGTGGGCAGAATATTTCAACTAGGGTTTTTTTTTCTGTATAGAATAATGATTTTGGAAAGCCTGAGGATGTGATTTCCTGCTTGTTGTTGTGTGCTCCTCTCACTGCCTGGCAGTGGATGTCAGTCGCACATGGGGGCAGGCTCTCGCCTGTCCTGCGTGTCCCTCCTGGGCAGGGTCCCGCTGCCCGGACACTCTTCTAACCTGACCTTGCTTGTGGTCTGCAGAGTGGCAGGACGAGCTCTCTGACAACCAGTCGGAGTACTCCATTGGCTCTGAGGATGAGGATGAAGACTTTGAAGAGAGGCCAGAAGGTCAGAGTGAGTTAATGTGTTTGATACTCCCCGGGATTGTGCTCCCTGGCACTGAGGTGCAGCAGGAACATCTGGGTTGGAGGGACTGGTGTGCTTCTGGGTCTCCAGTCAGGGGGAGGCGTCCCCACTCGCCGGCCAGGTGAGGAGGTTCCCAGGGCAGGGAAAGCACCTGGCTGTGTCCTTCACTGGCCACTGCAGGACCTTGGTCTGGTCTCACGGTGGCAGGATGGGGACTGCAGGAGGGACAGACATGGTTCCCCTGGGAAGGGCTTTTTCCCCTGGTAAGGGCAGAAGAGTGTCCTGGCTTGGGGAGGCCCATGGGATGGATGGAAGTGACCCTGTGGCCTGGGCTGCCTCTCTGCCCGGGCTCTGCTCCCCTTGGGAGGGTGTGCAGGGAGCCTGGGGCACATGAATGCTTGGGCATCCTTCCTCACTGCCTGGGCCCGTCCATCACCGAGGCTGCTTGACTCTAGGTGGCAGAAGACAATCCCGGAGACAGCTGAAGAGTGACCGGGACAAGCCTCTCCCTCCTTTGCTGGCAAGAGTTGGGGGGAATATCGAGGTGAGTGTCGGCCTCAGCCGGAGCACGACCGATGCGGTTGTGCCATGGCTGCCCCGGGCTTGTGGGCTGCACTGCTCTGTGCCGAGTCACCGGCACGTTAGTCCTGGCCCAGCATGCCTGTCGAGGCTCCAAGATGCCACAGGCTTCTGAGGTCGTGTTGTGACCCAGCAGCACCTCTGCTCCTGCAGGTTCTCGGCTTCAACGCCCGGCAGCGCAAGGCGTTCCTGAACGCCATCATGCGCTGGGGGATGCCTCCCCAGGACGCCTTCAACTCCCACTGGCTGGGTCGCGGG